CCCCGAAACTGCCTCTGCCTGAAACTCCTCCATGAAAGCCCCTCTTTGGGATGGCCTTTCTATTCCTCTATTTCTATTCCTCTATTCCTCTAGATTCCTCTATTTAAAGTGTAGCTGCCCCAGGAGCATCAGCATCTTGGGATCTCAGCAGGTCCTGGGAGAGAACGAAGCTGGGCATGCTTGGGGCTGGTGGGCTGGTGGGGAGAGTATATAAGGGAAGACCTGGTCATGGGAGACACACCTTTCTCACTGAACAACTCTGGGGACGGCTGGACGATTCTGCGGGCCCATTCCTGGGTGAGGGGCATTTGCACTTCTCGCCTGTTGATCTTAACCTGACCTTGAGCTTGGTCCAGGCAGCCTGGGGAGTCCAGGCTCCCCTCAGAGTTGGGCCTGCCTCTGACTCTCCCCACAGACGTAGGGCAGGGCACTGGGGTTTGCACACCTGAGAGCAGAGGACCAGGTGCCCCTTTTGGTCATTTCTGGGCCATGGAAGGTCTCTTAAGGGCCCTTCTTTTATTTGAGGCCTCAAGGTGGCCTTGGACAGAGAGCAGAGGTAGGGCCCAGGGATTGTGATGGCCATGGCAAGGCTCGGGGAGGCATCTTTGCAAAGGCAGGGGAGGCCACCTGACCTTCGTCCAGGGGTGGGGAACCTGCAGCCTCAAGGCCACACGTGGCCCTCCAGATCCCCAAGTGAGCCTCTCAACCGAATCCCAACTCCACAGCACAAATCCCTTTAGTAGAAGGATTTGTTCGCAAAATTTGGATTCAGTCAAAAGGCTGCACTCAAGGATCCAAAGCCACATTGACTAAGGCTTAGTCAATCCTCCTTCTGTTCAAATTGTGAACCAGCTGAGAAATGGACACAGGATTAGGATAGAGGCGAAACGAAGAGATTTGTACCGGTAACATTGGACTAGTGATCTCAGCTTGAGTCTGAGGTTGGTATGCTCTTCCTGCTCCTTTGCCCCATGCATACACGGAGGTATACCTGCCACAAGCATACCTGCCACAGGTGTTAAGTCCTACCTGGTGAGCAGGGCACAGGGCATGAGGAGAGCAGAAAAACAGCACAGGCAGTGTGCAGGCAGGCAGGTGCCCACAGGGGACAGTCCCCTTTTCCTATCTCCCCACTTGGATAGCTAGAGATTGTTGAGAGAAGAAGCAATCTCGTGATACTGTTCTTCCTGAATGGTGATCCCGTGGAAACAGGAGAGGTGGTGCTGTAGATCGTACAATTGCTTATCAGATATTCAGCGTCCCTCCCACTTCTCAGTGGGAGCACACACTCTTGCCCCATGGATGTTGGCCCCCCAACGAATGGAGCAGAGTTGTCATCACACCTGGTCAGAGGCTTGACATGTGCTCTCGTGATTGGCTTGGCCTCCTGAGTGGCTCGGACTTGAAACTTACCAGCAGCGCCATAGCTGATCCGTAAACCCATAAGAGAGAAATACACATTTCTTGTCATAAACCTCTGAGATTTGGGAGGCTGTTTGTTACTCTAGGAAAAGCTGACAACTAAAAGTGAGTAACTGGCATGTTCCTTGACTGCTAAATGAAGGGAGAGCTTCAGCAATGTCCAAGAAGCGAGAACAAGGAGCCATAAGCCATTCAGGGATGCTGGAGGGTCACCCTGGGTCTTAAGGGCAGGCAGTAGTCAGGGGACAGGTTGGGGAGGATGAGCCTTATCCTTCAAGGCCTTTGAACTTTAACCTGAAAAAAAATGGGAGTCATGAGGGCTTTAAGCATGGGAATGACTCAGATAAGATTGGAACTTTAATTCTTCCAGGAGTTGTTCTGGCACAATGCCTTACTCAAGTATTTGTGGTGATGCTGGTATAAACAAGCCCCCAGCACTGACAGTCATACAGAAATCTAGCACAAACAATTATGCACAATGCGTAATACTTGATCGTGATAATAACCGACCATGTTACTGGCTTATATATTTACTATACTACAATTTTGATTGTTATTTAAGAGCAGGGGTGGGGAACATGAGCCCTTAAGGCCACATGTGGCCTTCTAGGTCCTTAAGTGTGGCCTTTTGAGTGAATCCAATTTTTTCAGAACAAATCCTTTTATTTTTATTAACACGTTTTTGTTCATCTTTTATATTTTTATTTTATTTTAAAATGAACATATTTAAAATACCAAAGAATAAAATAAGTTTCAAAGAATCCTCCCAGATTGACTGACACAATGAGAGCGTTAGTAAGCCACAAGGCTAAACTGACAGCTGCTACGATGATTTAGTTCTAACTTCCCCTGCCTGACTGGTGCCACGACTACACGAGGCTGGTTGGCGAGAGTTTGTGGGGGTCGAGTTCGCCAGTCTGTTATCAGCTTTTGACAACGGAGCACTGTGTTTCTGTTTAAAGTGGAATTTGTGAATACTTACACAGCTTGACGGTATTTTTTAATTCCATCTGCTTAACAGCCCATCACATCAAAAAAGACCAAGAAAATGCTGAAGGAAGAAAATAGATTTTTTAATGAAGCTTGGAAATTGCAATAGCATCTTATTTTTGCTAAAGTTAAGATGATATGCTTGTTTTGTGATACTGGAATATCCAAAGTAAAGGCATTCAATGCTCATCAACATTATAACACTCATAAGGACCACAAATATTTTTTAATGGAGAGGCATGAAAGGTTGTGTTGCAGAAATTAAAAGATGAAAAGCAAAAGCAAAGATAATTTTCTTTTTTTTTTTGAGACAGAGTCTCACTTTGTTGCCCAGGCTAGAGTGCCGTGACATCAGCCTAGTTCACACCAACCTCAAACTCCTGGGCTTAAGCGATCCTCCTGCCTCAGCCTCCTGAGTACCTGGGACTACAGGCATGTGCCATCATGCCTGGTTAATTTTTCTATGTATTTTTAGTTGGCCAATTAATTTCTTTCTATTTTTTTTTTTAGTAGAGATGGGGTCTCACTCTTGCTCAGGCTGGTTTCAAACTCCTGACCTTGAGTGATCTACCCGCCTCGGCCTCCCAGAGTGCTAGGATTACAGGCATGAACCATCACGCCTGGCCCAAAGACAATTCTTTCAAGGAGCAATAAGACCTGGAAATAATGCCACTGAAGCAACTTATAAAGTACCTTACATACTTGGGGAAAAAAGGAAGCCATTCAGTGATACAGAAATTGTCAACGAATGCATTGTCAAAGTTGTAGGATGCTTAAACTCTGATAATGTTTCAAAGTACGAACAACTGCCTCTTTCAAGGAGAATCATAACTGATCAGGAGCATAAATTAGCCTTCAGGTTAACAGAACAACTTTGTGCAATACTTCAAAAGGAAAATGTATATTATTCAATAGCTTTGGATGAATCAACAGGTACTACTGACTCAGCACAGGTTTTATTATACTTCATTTGGGTCATAATAGAAGATTTTTTTTGCTATAAATTTACTCATTCTGGGCACTCTTGTGACCAGAATACGGGCAATAGGTATCTTCAACAACTTTCAAGATAAATTTCGTGAAGTTGGACTGAATTTGGTATATTTCATGAGTGTACATACAGACAGTGCACCTTCCATGACAGGAAAACATGAAGCATTTACTGCACAGATAAGGAAAGTATTAACAGATCCAGCTGCTCTCAATTCTTTTCATTGTGTCTTTCTTCACCAAAATCTCTGTGGTAAAGCTACATTATTTTAAGTGACACTTTGCAATAAGTTATAAGTATGATTAACTATATCCATGCAAATGCAACACAGCATTGTCAGTTTTGTAACATGCTAAAGTTGAAGGATGAGGTATTCAGTGTGGATTTGCTGCATCATTCTAAAGTGCTATTGCAGGGACAGGTAAAAGCCAAAATTTTCTCTCTTTCAGAACAGATAGTTAAATTCTATGAAGAACAGAATCAGCAATGTGAATTATTGAAAGAATATTTCTATAGTAATGCATCTCTGTGTGATATAATGTCAAATCAAAATGACTTGAATATTTCTTTGCAAGGTAAAACTAAGTCTCTATATAACATGTGGCCAAAAATCCAAGGATTTCAAAAACAGGTACTTTTTTTCAAAGCACTTCTTCAAAAGGAAATTTTGGATGAACATTTTCCCCAGTTAGCAAAAGTCACTGATGAGCAGGGTGACATATGTGAATCATTTGAAGACTAAGCAGCTATTATAGACCTATTAAGTGGAGAATACAATGAAAGGTTCATTGGCTTTGAGAATCATGACATCACACTTAGCATTTCAGCATTTCCTAGTTGATATCACCAAGGCACCTAAAGAACTACAGGTGGAATTGATTGAGTTCTCAGTAGATGACATTTTAAAGTCATTGATGCTAAGAAAGATCCAATTGAAATATGGAAAGCTGTGGTGGAATACTCAAGCAAGAAGTCCCCAAAATGCTTTCTTGCTTTCCAACCACTTATTGCTGTTAATCTACATTCTCCTACCTAACGCAAATCAAGATGCCCTTAAGGTCACAAATGACTGATACCATCTACAGGATGAACTGAAACTGTGGACCTTCATGCTGCAACCAAGTATTCAAATGCTTTCCAACAAAAAGTACACACAACAAAGTCATTAAAAGGTTACTTAACTTTAAAATTAACAATTTTTTAAATTTTAACAAAATTAAAAAATTACAAACTTTCAAATTAACAATTTGAAATTATTAAGTACATAATAGCTAGATTTTTATAAAATAAATGTATATTTTTAACTATATGTAATTGAAGTTTCTTGAATGTGGTCTTCCAACATGAAAAGTTTTCCCACCCCTGATGTAGGCATTGGTCTCCTTGGGTATTTATCATGAACGGAGGCTGAAGGACTGTGATTTCTCTAGTCAAAGCAGCTTAAAAATTGTCAAGAGCAGTTTGTGGTTGTGAAATTCAATTTTCATTGAAGGGTTTCTCCAGTGTTCTCTTGTTTTCATCAAGTTGAAAAGCTATTTTTTTTTTTTTTTTGGTAACACAATTTCATTCTAATCAGGAATATCTTTTCTTTTCTTTCTTTCTTTTTTTTTTATTTCTCTTTCTTTTGGGGAATATCTTTTCTTAGTTCCAGCAGTACTTGGTATCTGAGAGAGAGAGAGAGAGAGAGAGATCCAATGAGAGTCTTTGCCATGTTCTGTTGATGGCTGAGCCAGGAGGGATGGCTGAGTGGGACAGACCCAGGGGTAAACTGAGCTCCTGTGGAAAGATGGGCTGAAGTGAGCCTCAGGCTGCCTGAAGAAGAAAGAGACAGCTACAGGTGAGAAGAAGACCTCTCTGAACTTACAGCCAGCCTGAGGTGCAGGATATAGGAACTCTGTCCCTGCCCAACCAGGACCTGGTGATAACTGACACTTTCATCCTTTGTCTGCAAGAAATTGATGGCTTTTCACACCTCCCAGGGAGGGACATGCTCTGTATCAACCATCACACTGAGAAACTGATTGCTGCAGGAAGGAGAGGCCCTTTGCAGAGAAACACACCCTCTTATAACTCCAAGTCCCAGTCTTTTAGGGAGGAGTGGACAAGCTGTGGAAAGAGCCCTGGATGTGGTAGCCAGCAGGGACCTCAGACCACATCCAAGTCCAGTTCCACCTTTTACTGATGAGGAGAAGGTGGTGCCAATGGTACACATGGTAGCACATGACCTGCTACTGACAACCCTGAACTAGAACCCAGGCCTCAGGTCCTTTCCATACCGTTTGGAAGAAATGAGAGAAAGGCTCCAATGGACCCATCAACTGTCACTAGAGGCTTGGGTCACTCTTGCTAGGGACAAGAATCACGTTTTAAAAACAGTGAAAGCATTCTTCTAAAGAGGATCATCAAAGCAAGGAAAAAAGAGATATTTCAAATGGAATTAGCAAAAAGTGAGCAGGGACTGTCACCAAGGCTCAACTTATTTTCCCTAACTTCCTGAAGTTGATTCCACACCCAGTTACTACCTAAGGCATTTCTAGGCACATTGACCATATCTAGACCAAGAAAACTCTGAGTGGAACACGAAAGGGATGACGTTGGTTTGACTGCATTCTCCCTCCACCCTATTCTTTTCCCCCCTCGAAGTCCTTTCCCAGGAAAGATTCCTGATTTACTCTACTTTACGCCAATGTCAGGAGTGGCACAAAGAAATATAAATACACAATCGTTTCCTGAGTTTCACTTTTGATTTATTATAACATTCCCTTTAGGGGAATGAGAACTCTGAGAGCTCTTTGGGGATTTCACTGAATGACAGTAATTGACCAAAAGTCAAATTTTCAAATTGTAGTGCTGACAATATTCGTGGGCTGTGACATTAATCTGAGAAATGTAAACTTCAGGATTTATTTTAAATATTCCAAAGTAAACACTAAATTCTGTTATGCATAATAAGGAGAGGTATTTTTTTCTGTACACTGTGTTTCAATGTAATGATTATTTCTTACTTGAACTTACATTCAAAACAGTTTGAGCAAGCGTGCTTCAGGTGGAGAGGCTATAGGTTTAATCCATCTATCCACTTGCTTTTCTTCTCCATTTATTCCATGTTATACAAATAGCACTTTGGAGGGGGAAATACAAATTCCGTCAATGGCTGATCAATGTTCGCCCTTCTCTGTGGAAGAGCCACACACTTGGGGCACTTCCTTATCAGTAACTGGAGATCACAGTGGACCACTGGTCTTGTTATATTTGAGATTCACAAGGCCGCAGGACAGAGAGACAGAGTCACCGAGGCTGTAATTATCAAAAGGAGTTTTATTGTCTAGCTCGAGCTAGGGTCCAAGCCCCCAGAGCGCCAGCGCAGTGACCTCTTCTCTGGGCAGGGACCCTCCTTTGTGTGTTAATCCCCTTTTATAACTTAGTTGTTTACACACTGGTCATGCATCCACCCCCACAGTGATTTTCACTTCAGCCTGCCCCTGATTGCCCTAACCTGTTCCGGGTCCCAGCTGAGAGACTCAGGTTTCTGCTCTCTTTGTCTTTTTCTTCTGCATCCCATAATATACTCATAATGCCTTGCGGTTAGCAAACAAGCAGTAAACAGAAGCTGGAAGGTGTCTATTGTCCTTATAGCCCAGTATCTTACAGTCCTTTGCTTCTTTAGCAGCTGTTTGGAAAAACTTGAACTCTGTTCTTCCTGTGCTCTCACATCACACTCAACAATCATCACAGATGACAGCTGTGACCAAATGTGGGGGATTTCTACCCATCACCAAGCAACAATTAGTTCTTCAATGGACACCAGCTGCGTGTCCTCTAGTTCAATTCTGATGCTATCTACCTGGAGGGTGAGGGCTCAGTCTCCAAATTGCTCCCCCATGAGACACCACTTGCAAGTCTCAGCCTCCAGAACTTCTGACTGATTGACTTCAAGTTGGGATTCTCACCGCCCCTCTTTTGTTTGGATGAATTTGCTAGAGTGCTTCACTGAACTCAGGGAAACTGGTTTATTTACAAGGACATTACAAAGAATATGAATGATGGGATGCACAAGGCAAGGTGCAGAGGAGGGGCTCTGAGCTCTCACGCCCATCCAGGCTGCACCAGCCTCTAAGACCTTCCATGGTTCAGCTATACAGGAGCTCCCTGAGCCATGTACTTTTGGGTTTTTATGGAGGCTCCTTACATAGGCATGACTGATTAAACCATTGCCCATGGGCAATCAGCTTAACCTTCAGCCCCTCTCCCCTTCCTGGAGGCAGAGTGTGGGGCTGAAAGTCCCAGCCCTGTAACCTTGCCTTCATCTCTCCTTGGCCAGCCCCCACCCTGAAGCTACCCTAGGGGCTGCCAGCCATCAGTCAACAATACCATAAAAAAAGACATCGCTCTGGAGATTCCAAGGATTTGAGGAGTTGCTTGCCAGGGAAAGGGGACAAAGACCAAAAATGTCTTTCACAATATCACAGCCCCATATTAGCATCACCTAGGAGCCTTTCAAAATACTGATGCCCAAACCACAGCCCAGATCACGGAAGTGAGAATTTCAAGTTGTGAGTTCAAGGCATTCCTCTTAATTGAAATCTCACCAGGTACTTAAGACAGGGCAGCAGGGTTTAGAGATACTGAATGGGCCATCCTGATTTTTCCCCATTCTCTTTCCTTCTCCACATTTCTCTTGGAAAGGGATTGGCTTCCTTTTCCCAGGCCTATGGATTTTAGGCTTCTTTCTGACAATTTTGGTTATATCACTCTCTAGTCAAATGAGGCAAAGATTGTCCTGTATTCTTGCCTATCACCTTGGGTGTTTGTATGTAATGCTGTGCCAGACTCACATTTTTCAAAGTGAATTCATAAAATGCTCTCTTACTCTCTCTGGCATGAAGATGCAATGGAGTGGCATTTTAGACCCTAGTCTGGACTTGTAGAAGCTGGAAATAGAGGCTTCAGTAGGAACAATCCTAGTTCTCTCTTTGCTAAGTCCTCCCAGAACACCCATCTCTGATGTCCCTGCCTGTCAGTGAGACCATCCAGGGACCCAGCCACATAGACAGACATCACGTATATGAAGGAGATGTCCCCTGTCACACGTGTGGCTGGGGATGTTCAGATGCCAGGTGCCCAGGCTGCAGTGTCCCTGAAGTGAAAAATCACCCACCTGAGCCCAGACAGAGGACTTTGGATGGACAGACAGGGACACACCCATTATTCTCTTCCTATTAACATTGGTCCTCTATCCTGGAGAGAAGGTTCTAGAGAGGCTGTAGGGCATGGGATGGAGTTAGTTAGATCTCTGCCCATAGCAAGAAAGAACAGGAGGAGGAGTAGAGCCTAAAGGCTTGGGGGGTACCATGAAAAAGGGTGTTAAGCAGCTATGAAGCATGTACCAAGTGAAGGAAACTATTTAGGGTTTTGGAGCCTTATATATTTTCTGTTTGTAATTTTTTACCACGTGCTCATACATAGGTAAAATCTGCTGCCGTACAGCGGGTGTTAGCAGCCATCAGCCGTGCGGAAGAGGTCCCAGCCCTTCGGTGGAGACTTAGGGGCAGGAGAGCTGCAGACTGGGACTGCGTGGTCCCCACGGGAGCAGCAGCGCAGTGCACAGCCTCGCCCTCCGCACTCCTCCGGCGGGGGCTGGGCGCGGCCCCACCGCACGCGTGATACTCCGCAGCCAGGCGGCGCACGTTCTCAGGGCCGGGCTCAGGAAAGACTCCCACAGCCCCTGACAGTCTAGCGCAGGTGCAAGAGGGGCCGTGGCCCGCAGGGCTGCTCCACCTTGCTGGGGGCCCCTCTGTCTCCTGCCTCTGCACGTCCTCATTCGCACCAAGGAGTCAGTTTTCTTGGAAATGATGTTCGTGTGTCTGTTCCGCGGCACCTCCCTGAGAGCATATCAGACTCTCATCATCGCCTTCTCCTCCCAGCTGGGCTCTCTGATTGTGTCACCTCCGCACTGTCAGGCGCCTCACCAGGCTCCTTCTCCACAAGTCTTGTTCTTATCACGTTCCTACTCTCCTCCGGAAAACTTCCCCGACTCCGCCTCCTCCCCCTGCCTGGTGGCCCTTCTGATTGTGGCCCCTTGTCGGTGGCCTCGCTGCCCCACGCTCCCTGTACAGATCGTCCCCTGGGGTCGGGCTGCCCCTCCCTGACCCCAGCCCTGCACCAGGGACCTTCCAGCGTCCAGGTCTTTGTCCACAAGCTCCTCCCCCGGCCTGTTCGCCCTGGTAGGTACTCCTGGCACAGTTTACCACCACTAACCATCACCCAAGCAGGACACTCGATAAGACGTTATGATAGTTCCTACTGGGGAAAACATCCAGGGGAAAACGTCCTAAACCAACACACCTGTTGTGGAAGGAATTGTCAAGCACAGAAAAAAGCATCACGCAGCTGGTAGGACTGAAAGGTGCACTGAGCCAGGGCTGTTTTCCAGGACTCTTGGCAAATCACCTGGTCTCTTCTCTAATGTCCTGCGAGGTGACCTCACTCCCTCCCAATCTGCCTTTCTCTCACTGGACAGTCAGAGCAGTCGGGAACATTCCTCAGGATGTAGCCAACTCCTGATGCCCTGAAGGCTTCCTTCACATGGTTTTGCTTCTTTAGCCTCGTGATTGTCACGAAACTAACCTGCTCCCCACTCCCTTAGGTCATTCAAATATCTGAAGCTGGATCTCATCCCACTATGGTCTCTGAGTGTCAAGGGTGAACATTCTCAGTTTTCACCTACGTCCAAATGTCTGGCCCCTCACCGATTCTGGACTGTTCTCCACAGACTGTTAAAACAGGTGCCCCTGATCTAACCACGCCCCGGGGGGGCCTGCCATTTATGCCACTGCAGACACAGACTGAGGGGGCTTTGCACCCAGCTTGGTCTCACTGATGGCCCCTGCGCTACGTGGACCCCCTTCCCCGCCCCTCTGGTGAATGGCTGCAAAGCCAGGTCTCCCCAGCCCGGTCCTCTTACGGGACAGTGGGACAGTTTAAAGTGAGGCCAGGGAGTGTGGGTGCATTTTCTCCTGCTGGCTCTGAGCCTCTGCAGAGCCTTCTCCCCACTAAGCTTTGAAGACCCTCTCCGGGCACAGGACAAGGGAAAACATTACCAAACCTCTGGATATCTGTACATATCAATAGTTAGATACGTGGGGGAAATCCCTCATTAAAAGATCAATGTGTAATTTAGGTTTTATTCACGCTCTGTCTACCGGGGTTTTCCCTGCAGGGAGAGATGGGGCAGGGCAGACCTCCCGTGGCGCTGCTGCCGGGTCCTGGGTGTGCGCTGAACACACGCACTATTCACACATTATCACAGGGGGCCCAGCCAGGAGCGTCCTTCTATAGTTTGGACCCAACTGCAGAGATGAACTGTTCGCTCCAGGCTCGTGTTCATGACGCCCTGGCAGGGCCGTCCCCTGCCACACTCATGTCACTTCTGAGACCTGTGTCTGGGCATCCCTTTGTTCTCATGGGAGCCCAGTCCTGGCCTGGGTGGTTCTGACACAGAGCCTGAAGCTTCACAAGGCCCCAGGCTGTGTGCAGAGACCTTGGGGACAGGGGTGGGAGAGACAAGGGCCTTAGAGCCCCTGGTTGGTTTTCCACAGAGCCTCATGGCGCCGCAGCTCCACCTGCAGAGTGGGGGCCCCACTCAGGACATGCAGGAGACACGAGATGCCACCATTAGGAGACAGCCCAGGCAGAAGTTGCTGGGCACCTGCTGCAGAGGGGCTGTGGGGGCTCCTCACCTCCTCACCCCCCACCCCCGCTCTCCCCCTGTGACCCGCCCGTGGATCTGCGGCCTGCACAGGGCACTGGGGCCAGGCTGGCAGAGACATGGCCAGACACTGGGGAGACAGCAAAGCTCCTAGGCCAGACTCACCTCTGTGCCAAAAACTGCCCAAGCACCTGACATGGACCAACAAGTGTCCCCTGGCTGGCCTGCAGGGCCGTCGCTGAGCCTGAACAAGGAGCTGAGCACAGAGCATGGGGGCCACCTGGGCCACTGGTGAGAAACGACCTGCTTTATGACAGGAAGACTCATCCGCTCCAGCCAGAACAGAGCCGACCCCAGCTCGTCAGGCAGGAAGGGAGCGTTTCTGAGAGGTTCTTGGCAGTCAGACAGACCAGCACCACCAGGAGGACAGAAATACTGTTCACTCAGTGAGTGTGACAGTCCTCCATTCCCTGTCCCCTCCTGCAGCTCACTGTTGAGACTGCTGAGACAGGAAGAACCAACGATGAAATCAAGAGGGATGAGACCCCTCCACACCCAGCAGGTCCTGACTGGAGGCAGAAGGGTGGGGTCCAATGGCATGTGGCCCCCCTTCACAAAGGGGGCAGGAAACCACCCTCCTCTGACTCGGGGTGGCTGCCTTGGGAATGGGGGGCGAGAGAGAGAGACAAATGGAGAGAATGACAGAAAGAGACAGAGACAGAGACAACAAGAGGGAGAGATAGAGATACAGAGAGAGAGACAGAGAGACACACAGAGAGAAACAGAAAACAGAGAGAGACAGATAGAGACAGAGACAGAAAGATAGAGATACAGAGAGAGAGAGACAAGGATAGAGAGACAGAGAGATAGATAGTGACAGACAGAGATAGAGACAGAGACAGAGATAGAGACAGACAGAGACAAAGACAGAGAGACACACAGAGAGAAACAGAGAGAAAGACAGAGAGACAGAGACAGAGAGATAGAGATATAGAGAAAGAGACAGACAGAGATAGAGACAGAGACAGAGACTGACAGAGAGAGATAGAGATATGGAGAGAGATACACATAGAGATAGAGACAGAGAGATAGATAGTGACAGACAGAGATAGAGACAGAGACAGAGATAGAGACAGACAGAGACAAAGACAGAGAGACACACAGAGAGAAACAGAGAGAAAGACAGAGAGACAGAGACAGAGAGATAGAGATACAGAGAAAGAGACAGACATAGAGATAGAGACAGAGACAGAGATAGAGACAGAGACTGACAGAGAGAGATAGAGATATGGAGAGAGATACACATAGAGATAGAGACAGAGACAGAGGGACAGAGATAGAGAGAGACAGAGAGAGACAAAGACAGAGAGAGATACACTGAGAGAGGGAGACAGAGAGCGAGACCGAGCGCACGAGCAGTGCAGAGTGTGCTGACAGGATGAGGAGCTAACGGGGAGGACTCCAGACGCCCTGGCAGGCGCGGGCAGGGCACACAGCACGCCGGAGACTCACAACACTGGGTCGACCCTGCGCACAGATGATGGTGAATTTCACGCACAGCGCAGGGAAGACAGGCCCCTGAGGCACTACCGACCCCCCGAGACCTTGTGCAACCTAGGCCTTTTTGTTTTCAAAACTGTGGCATGAGATGATTGCTTTGGTCTGGTTCTTTGCTGGCTCTGACATTCCTGTCAACAACCTAAGGCAACAGTGTAGAAAGCAGACACGTATGTCCAGGCGGTTACAGCCTCACGTGATCTAGCCAAGAGCAAGATGTCCCTGCGACTGATTACCTCCCCTGGGTCAGAGTCACTCTACCATACCTCGGAGGAGATGGCGGCCTTGCTGAAGGGGCTCTGCCATCTCCGGGGGAGTGGATGCAATCAGCGCACTCGGTAGCCCGTGTTTCCCCGGAGTGTGAAATCTTGGTGACTTTGACCTCACGTTCTGTACTTTAGATACCACCCTGCCCTGCCGTATCCTACCCTTGCTTCTGGCCCCTGCTAATTCATTGTTACCTGTGAATAATGGCCAGTGACTCTACATCTTCTGCATCTTCCTCATCTTCGTAATTTTCTGCAAACAAATTCAGAAATGTCCAGACATTAAATAGTTCCATTACACATACTGGGGCCTATCTGGGCATGGAGACAAATGATCTCTCTGTGAGCTCAGGACACACTTAGAGAATCATTCCGATCTCATCTGCTGACGGTAAAGCAGTGGTGAGGCAGGAAATGCTGATCCAGCCTGTGAAATGTGCTAGACTCCGTGGATCATTATCACGGTGTGCTCTGAGTTTCATTGGGAAAAGTTAAAATGTATTTTAGTCTCCAGATCACTGGATATTGCACAGTTTCTTCCAGATTTCTCTAGCTCTGTGCCCCCTCCCTCTACAAGGAAGCTCAGGGCATTATATCCCCTCACAATTCTCAAATAGACCCTACTCAGTTCTCTAAGAAGAAAATGAGAGCCCTTTGCCACTTCCCTCCATGCAGCGGGACTTCAGCTGACCCCCAAGTTGGCTTCTGCAGGGGAACAGGGGAAAGCCCATCTGGAGAAAGTGTTCCAGATATTTCTACCACCGGAGCCTACTATTTTAACCAAATCAGCCCCAAACAGAGACGTTATCCCTTCTGGAAATGCATTTGTGGGCATTCGCTCATTCGATAGTCACAGCTGCCAAGCAGCACATTATGTGACCAATTACCGATGAGGGCCTAGAAATCTAGAAAGGACAAATCCATCCCTCACCTACAGCTGAGAAGGCCAGGGCTTGTGGCAAGAGCTCAAGAAACTGCCACTCTCGGTCCAGGGCTCTTTGCACTCTAACATCTGCCTCCTGCCCCAGAGGCCACATTCCACCAGGGAGGACGGTGACAGTTGGAAGGTCATGACCTCCTGCCCAGTACATCTCTCTTCTCTGTTCCCACCCTGGCTCTGCTGACCCTGACACGGCCTCAGATTGGGTGTGGAAAACAGGACAGCAGGTAAAACAAGGGCATCTCTCCCTTCCTGTAACTTGTGGCATAGCTGGGTCAGCTCTTGCACATGATCATGAATTAGGATGTCGTATTTCCTTGGGTGGGTAGAAGGGAAACCATCAGAGTGGAAATGGGGTGATAAAGGGTGACAAGGACATCGAAAGAGATGCTGTTCCTATAACCCCAGGCAGCCCTTCAAACAGAATTCTGGCACATGTTTGGTGAATGTGCATCACTTTTTCTGCAATTTCTGGAAAAGCAAGCTTATTTCTGAGACATTGTATACCTAGATCCTATGCCTTCTTGATATGAACTTTCTTTTGGTCTAGTTACTTTTCTTGCTGCCGGGAACCTGCCAGCAGGCTAAGGTCAACAAGGAAGGAGGCAAGGATGCATCTTCCTGATTTTAATCACACAGGGCAGTGCCCTGTGGCGTGTATTTGTGAATATGGAAATGCATGAACAATTACATTTCACCTGGCTGACTCTACGTAAGAAATTAGTAGGAAGTGGTAATCAGCCCAGGAATAGCAAAGAAAACAAACGCTACCCCTTAAACAGACCCTTCGTGGCTGGCTGATCGGATCAAATAGGTATATTCAGCAGAACTGTTTTCCCTGAGATATCTAGATGCCCCCAAATACTACCTTAGTTCCCATTAACAGTCCTTGATTATCAGAGTCACCTGGGGGCCGCTGGCTCTTGTCCTTTATTCTTAGAATCACGTAGGTTTTCTGCAAATAAAACAGATGGGGCCAGTCACATGACATAGTTGTTGCTTTATACATTGCAAACACTGGAATATAAAGAGGTGCTGGGCAAAATGAGGATATTCCAAGAACACTGCAGGGAGCCATATGACATGTCCTGGGAAAAGGAGCTGGCCCTGTTTCCCTGAGCCACCGAATAACAGTGCCTATTGTGATAGATCATCAAAACATGTTCACTGCTTCAAACTGGGTAAACAGTTAAACATATTATTTTTTCTTAGAGATTGTGGGGAACTTGCCTTGCTGTTTTTTAGAGGTGCTGCTGCAACCTGGCCCAGTGGATCCCCTGGCTGCTGTCGCTGTATGTGAGAATAGACCCTGAGATTAGACTGATGGATGCAATATACAAACTCTTGGTACACTGGCCACAGAACGTGCTGACCAGGAAGGACGCTCCACTCCCCCTGCATGGCGTAGTCATGACTTGGAGCACACAACGAGAACCATCACACTTGCTACAGCTCCAGTGCAAGGTTGGTCCACTTCACTAGCAGGGATGCAGTGAAGAGAGGCTCCCGAGGCTTTGTTCACTCCAACAGATCATCAGTCAGCATTCTAGGCCTTGATCTCTTAATATTGTGACATCATATGATTTTTTTCCATCTAGTTATATTTCTCATTGTAAAATCCCTGGGAAGTAACAAAGGCCAACCTTGCAGAAAAAAGATAAACATCTTATCTTGGTTTTCCCAATATGGGACAGATTGGTTGTTCTTCCTGGGTGAAAGAATATCTGGGATTACACCCACACTAGGTTTGTAAACTTGAGAAATTAATGAGAAGTTTAAACCAGTAGTAGAAATTCCAAGAAAACAGCTAACTTTCTTAAAGGGCTGTACATTGTTTGCTGAATGAATGAAAAAGGCATTTGCAGCACATTCAGGTTGTCCTGGATCTGGGATTTCCAGATGTCAACCGTGCGTTGGCAGCCCATGACTGTGAGTTACTTGGAGGGCACCGGCTCCATCCTATCCTCCTCCTCATGGGTGTTCTGATTTTGATTGCCTGCAAATAAGTTTAGACAAACCTAGTCATATCATGCAGTTCCTACTCCATGCATTGCACAAAGCCCTGTGCAGTCACAGGGACGTAAATATTCTCTGGGGGGAAAAGCCCAGCATATTCTGCAAGGAACCTGGCTGGTGGCTCCTGGTTGTGCCTTCTAGGAAGTGGCTGGGCCTGCTTTTCTGAGCCACCTAGAAGACTGACCCGCACCTCATGCATCATCCTAACAATGTCCTCTTTACAGCCACTCCCCATCACTCGTGGCACTGCCTGAGCTCCGTCTCCCAGATCAGCGGGGACATTAAATTCCCATAGGAGCATGGCTCTACTATAAACTACTTATGGCGAGAGATGTAGGTTGCACACTCCGCATGAGAATCTGATGCCTGATGGACTGAGGTGGAGCTGAGGTGGTGATGCTAGTGTTGGGGAGTGGCTGCACATACAGATTATTATTAGCAGAGAGGTTTGACTGCACAATAAATGCAATGCACTTGAATCATCCCGAAACCACTCCCCAAACCCCGGTCTATGGAAAAATTGTCTTCCATGAAACCAGTCCCTGGTGCCAAAAAGGTTGGGGACCGCTGCTAACATGCCCGAGTGAGGGCCTTTATCCTTACTGAGGTGCGTTCGTGAATATTCCATTCCCACATATGATGGCGACTGCTACATGTGATACCTTTATTATAGGTAAGGATGCAGAAATCCAGGAGGGATAAATCCATCACAGGCTCACAGGTAGTGAAGACAGCACTCAGGCTAGAGCCTGGAAACCTTTCATTCCTAGACCAGGACTGTTACCCCTGTAACAAGCTGACTCTTTTGTTTTTTATTTTGGCATATTATGGGGGTACAGATTTTAAGGTTTCAATAAATGCCCATTCCTCCCCTCCCCCCACAAGTCTGAGTCTCCAGCATGATCATCCCCCAGATGGTGCACATCTCACTCATTATATATGTATATACCCGCCCCCCTCCCACCTGCCCAATACCCTATTACTGTAGTACCTATGTGTCCACTTAGGTACTGCTCAGTTAATACCAGTTTGCTGGTGAGTACATGTGGTGCTTGACAAGCTGACTCTTGTCACCCTCTCCTGCTCCACTCTCACAGGGGACGGAGGCTGCCTCCTCAGCGAGAGGCCACGCTGCATCAGGAGGAAGGACAGAGCTGGAATCCTGGGAGCTCCACCCTGCGCAAGTCTCTCCGCTCCCACCACCGCCAGCCCTGATCCCATCATGGCCATAAAGGTGGTGTGCAAACCAGGGCAGCCGGTTAAAGAGTCACATTGTGAGTGGAGTGTCTGGTGAGCCGGGCACCTGCCTTGTCGCGGCTCAGGGTAACAAGGGCCTGTGGCCACCTTACCTGGGCTGAGCGTGTGGCTGAGGCACTCTGCCAGCCCGTGCCCGTCCGCCAGGTGCTCCCGGAGGCCCTGCCCCAGGCAGTTGTCAGGGTCACCTGAGGTGAGGAGGGCCTTGAGTTGTCGGCTGAGTAGAAACAAGACATTTCTCCCCTCCTGTAATGTCTGCTTTAACTGGTGAGCTCTTGGGCCTGATGCTCAATTAGGATATTAGATCCCCTATGGTGGGAGCAAAACAAACAAACAAACAAACAAACAAACATGAAAAGACACAGGTGCGCAATAGATTACATGGGCCTCGGCAGAGAATTCTGTGGAAATATCCCCAAGAAGCCTTCCAAGCGCAATTCTGGCACATATCTGGTGTCCTGCTGGTAGCAAAGAGAGAGAAGAATGTACAAGGAAGGCCTCCTCTGTATCAGAAAGTGCTCCTGTAAGGTTCCTTGACCTTCCCTTCAAGTGTTTCTGCTGTCTAAACAGCTGGGCGGCTTCCTGAATTGGCTTCATAAAGATGTTCCTTCGGTTTCTCACTTTGGCCATGGGCATTTCATGTGAAGAGGCACCCAGTGCATTGTGCGGTGACTGGACACACAGCCGCACAAAGACAGGTGGCCAGGTCCAGAGGGGGCTGATTGATAGACTGAAAGAACGCGAGATGACGAGGCAAGAGGACAGCACTCTTTGGATAAAAGCATCAGAAGTCACACTCAGTCAGGAGGCGATTGTGATTCAGAGTAAATGGGATGGTGATCGCATGGCATTTTTAAAGTTTTACTTGGATCAGTTTAAGGGGCACAAGTGCAGTTTTGTTACAGGGATACGTTGCGTGGTGGCGAAGTCTGGGCTTTTGGTGTTTCCTTCACCTAAATGCATGTGTGACTACACTGAATGCTGCCGAGTTGTTCACTGTCCTTCTGTTAATTTTATGTTGTGTGAATTTCGCCCTGAAAATTAGCTTTTGAAAAGAGAAAACGGGGCTCTGAGTAACAATTGTAGGCCAGAATTTACCAGTATTTTTTTTTTTTTTCTGGACTTGTTTTATACACATTTGTGCGACACGTGCCTGCCAGGCCCATTCCTGCCCTTCCCCAGCCATGTGAACCTGTAGTTGTCCCCGCTGAGCTGCCCCACTTCGAGGAGTCTCGCCCTTCCCACCTGCCTGCCCCACACGGCCCCCTCACCTGAGCCCGTCAGCTGCAGCCAGCTTCTCTGCCTGCTCCCCCTCTGCACACCCAGCCTCTCCCCAGCACGGCCTCCTCGCACTGTGAGGACAGACAGACTCGCCTGCCTCAGTGGGGAGTTGGGCACAGCTGTGCTCACTGCCCACGGGGGAGAGGCAGGCCACAACTTCTGTCAGGAGCACGCTCCCCTGGAAGCTCCTTTCCGCAGGGGCTGTGTCCCTTCCCCAGGGGGAGCAGCACCGTGCTCTCCTATTGGGCCTCAACACAAGCTCAAATCGAATAGAAGCTCATTAGTCCCAGAAATTTAGACCAACAGTGATGTTATATGACTGAGGTCTTTGACACAGTACAGGGGTGATCCTAATATTAATGCAAATCAGTTCAGCTTATTCCTCAAAATCACAGGCACTTCCTTGCCCGCTGCAGGAGTAAATAACTGAGATTTTTAACCCAAGTCTCATCCTACTCCTCACTTGGAATCATGGCCAAACTCTCTGTGCCTCAGTTTTCCAACCTCAGAAAAATGAGGTTAAAATACCCACTTTTCCCTTCCTAGGAATACAGTTCGGATGACATTTATTTTGATGAATGGAAGAGAAGAATCAAGTCTAGAGAGCGTTTGTTTTCTCAGAGAGAAGACATACAATCGTTCATCACTTTGCGGCTGGTGAACCTGTAGAACTTACTGTATTTCTGCAGCTGTTGGCCAGGGAGTAGGCAATAGATTCAGAGATAACGCAATTTCTCCTTGTGGGCTCGTAACCGCTGTTTGCTCTCTGCCAGCTGGGAGCGCAATTCCTTGTTCATTTCCAGAATGTTCATCTCCGCCCTCAGCCTGGACAAAGGGCTGAGGGCTCCCACCACGCTGACATGTGTAGCAGAAGAGGTACAGCCAGGGGGCGGGGAGAAGAAACCCAAATACATGATGGGTGAAAAACAAATGAAATCAAGTAGATTTTATCAGGACTGAGGGATGACCAACACTGTCATTCTTGACTTACTGTTGGGAAAAATTTGACCAACGCCCCACAGATCTTGACAGTCCTTTACAGTAGAAGCAAATTCAAGATGCCAGAGCTCAGATCTGAAGGCACTGCCTGTAGCTCAAACTCTGACTGAAGTGGGGGAGGTAGAGCTCAGCATGCCAGGTCATGGGCTGGGGTTGCCATACCAGAATTAGAAGGTGTGTGTGCCGTGGAATCTTAGGGGCCCCTGCCCTCCAGTTGCCTGGGCCATGCTGATACACAGGCTATGTGGTCTAGTCTGAAGGTCACCAATGATGGCCCCCCCCCAAAGGCAGCCATGTTCAAGAGTGGACATGTCCTCATATACTCATCTTTTTCCCAGTAAATCTAAGCCTATTGTTCATACTCATGTATGTATGAAAATATCTAGGCAGAGATAGTTTTCCCACAGGTTTTATTTTCTTCAGGGTTGTTAAGTAGTCACTCCACCATTTCTTCTTCTTCTTCTTTTTTCTTTTTTGTGGTATGGTGTCAGCTTAGCTCACAGCAACTTCAAACTCGTGGGCTCAAGCAATCCTTCTGCCTCAGCCTCCCAAGTAGCTGGGACTACAGGCATGCGCCACCATGCCCGGCTGATTTTTTCTATATATTTTTAGTTGTTCAGCTAATTGTTATTCTTTTTTTTTTAGTAGAGATGGGGTCTTGCTCTTGTTCAGGCTGGTCTCCAACTCCTGAGCTCAAATGATCCTCCAGCCTCGGCCTCCCAGAGTTGCTAAGATTACAGGTGTGAGCCACTGCGCCCGGCCCCACCCACCATTTCTTTACTGTGAATACAGATCTTAGGACTTTTCCTAAATTGAATAATGTTAAACTTTTGCAGTCTTAAAATGTAAACCTCTCATGACATTCTTCTCTGTATTTTCTTCCATACCTCTAAATCTATTAAAAAGTGTAGAACAAAATCGACTCTTATGATACTAAGTGAACAAATACTTAGTTTTTCAGTATGGTTTCTGTCCTGTCTCAATATTCTTGCCGCATTGCAGGTTTATGTTGGCTTGTATTCTCTCACTGGGGTAGCTGTGTGTCTCTCAGTATATGCCTACATCAAATTTGACTTCTCTATCATCTACATTCCTTCCCCCTATGTGGGCTGCTTTGGAGTTTTATTTAATGTCACTAAATATTATATTTCATACTTATTACTAATGGATTTCATTGTACACCCTCATATTCTCTTTACCTACTGTCTAAGTGATTAAAATAGTTTCTGTATATATCTTCGGATACAAACGAAGTGACCGCCTGTATTGGGAAGACTAGTAAACCTGATGATAGGTTTTACATTTTCGTTCCATTCACCCACATACTGCACAGAACAGGCATCAGGAGCAGTTTCATGGAACATTGTTCTATAGATCAATGTGTGAGCTGACCTGACACCATCAAACTGTGTTGTGTCCCACTAACAGAACATGATGAGATCAAGGTCATGGGTCTGGGGAGATGCAGTATCCACATGTGATGGGGTTCAGAGACACAGGTTCAGAGACAGAGGTGAGAGGGACAGGTAGGCATAGGGGAGGGACCCACTGGGCCACCTCCTCACTTTTTTGGCTTCCATTCCCACGCAGGTCTTGTGGGTCTGAGGCTTGGGAGATGCCCGTGTTGCCCAGGTCTCTGCAGTTCGGCTGGTGGACCCGTCTGAATCGAGGGAGTAACACGTGTCATCAGGGGCCCCTGAGTGTTCATTCAAAGTGAAGGAAGGAGGACTGCTCGGCCGCTTTTGAAAGCATGCCCCTCACACCATGCAATATCCTCCAACCACAATGTGTAGGGATAGTGGTTTTGAGATGTATGTAACTCTTGAGTGAGTGTCCAATGGGTGCAAATTTTTACCAAACATGTTTTTTGAAGAGTGATGTTTCTCTGAGCCAGCTCATTGGCAGCTCCAGAAACATCAAGCCATTTTATACGGTATATTTTGACCAATGTCATGAGTTCCACCCTGCTTCCTCCCATATCACCCACCATGGGATCTGTGTCATTCCTTGTCCCAGAGGCAAAGCCATTTCCCCCGGCTTATTTACTCCATTGAAGACCTGCCGATTTGGTAAAATCAATGGATGTGGTGGTTCTCTTTGGTATTTGCTGTATTAGGGCCATCTTTTGGGTCACTTGGAGAACATTTTGTCTCCAGAAGTCATTGAGTGCTATGAAATGCAGTTGATTATCTCTCACTAGGTGACACTTAACCCAACTCATCCATTGTATTCCCCAAAGCTTCACTTCCTAAGCAGGTTCTTGACCTTTTTGTTTTTCCCCTCTTCAATGGTGGTGGTATTTTCTTTTCTTTCTTTATTTAAAATTTTATTTCAGTATATTATGGGGGCACAAATGTTTAGGTTACATATATTGCCTTTGCCCCACCTGAGTCAGAGCTACAAGCATGTCCATCCCCCAGATGGTGTGCACTGCATCCTTTATGTGTGAATATACCCATCCCCACCTCCCCACCACATGCCCGACATTGATGAATGTTGCTACTATATGTGCACCTAAGTGTTGATATGCGTATGCTACACATCAGAAAAAGGGCTGATAACTAGAATCTATACCAAACTCAGGAAAATCAGCAAGAAAAAAAATCAAACAACGCCTTTAAAAAGTGGGTGAAGGACATGAACAGAGACTTTTCAAATGAAGACAGACTAATGGCCAACAAACAAATGAAAAAATGCTCAACGTCCCTTGACCTCTTTTGAGATCTATTGCCCAAACAAGGTTTTCTAGTCCATCACTGCATTGCTTCTCTTCTTGTTGCTACAACCTAAATATGACCTGTGAAATAAAACACAGGGAAGAAACCCATGCTAAGGATGTGTGTGACACTCAACTATGACACTGGCAGCCGAGACACTCTTTGCAGGAGATTCTGATGGTTTTGACCCGAATCTGAAGGGTGTGAAAAGCCCAGGGCTGTCGCAGCTCCTCCTAGTCTGCCTTTGGTGTGAGCTATTGATTTCACACCTACAGAGGCCCCTGGCTGAGGCTGGAGCAGACGACTCTCAGCTCTTCTGGGTAAGAATCGGCCACATTTCCTCTGATCCCCAGTCAACCAGCACAAGGCTTTACCCGCAGGTGCCCAGTAACTGCATCCACTGAGCTCAGCTAACTTAGAATCCAACTTCCCTACATAAGTACAGAGGTTGTGTTTTAAGGAATTGGATAGGTTTCACAGAAGAGTGAAACAAGGGGCGTGACACTTTTCTGTCTTTATGAGAAAAAAGTCATTATGTTCATCAACCACTCGAATATCAGAAAGCCGGGTTTTAGCCCTAGTTCCCCTATATGTGCCCCACAAACATAGAAATTGCTTTATTTCTTTCTATGTTCATTTTTTAAATGTAAAATCTGAGAATAAAAGATATGAGGTGCTGAAATTCTTCATTATTTAATTTATTTTCATGTGACGAGAGAATGGTAAAGTATGGAAAGCATTTAACTTATCAGAAAGAATAGAGACTGGCACCATCTTTCTGGAAGATATGGGCTTACAAGTCCCACTAAACTTGCCTCACGGAGTCTCCAGGTGGCCATGAAGTAGTCAGTAGCTACTGACGACGGCAGTTTTCTTGGGAGACTGTGGCCGTGTTGACCTTGAGACAACCGGGAGGGCAGATGCCAGTTTATTTTGGGAGGTCAGGAATGTTGTGTTCCACAGAGGTTGTCCAGGGACTTCTCTCAGGAATTCCCTTCCTGGTTCACTGTGTCATGTGGAAGACGTACTGTGACCTCTCCACCTGTTCCCTGGGCTGCCACAAGGCCTTGCTCAACAGAATGGGCTGGAGAACAGACCAAGTATCAGTACTTCCTGTGCAAGGGTCCCCTTGCCCTGGTCCACTGATCTAGAGCAGAAGGGTGTAAGGTGCGAATGGATGTTTGCAGCCCCTCTCCTGCTAGGCCCACCCTTACGTGGACGGCGTCCACTGCCAGGGCAGCCCTGAGGTCGAGGCTCCTGGGGCCCGGCCAGGCCTCATGGTCACATCCTCCCACTCTTGGAGTTGGTGCTTCCCCTCCGTGTAAACCAGCTCCGAGTCCACCCTGTGGGTGACCTTGGCCAGGGGCACAGGTTCACTGTGCAGTGAGTTCCTCTCCCATCCCTACTGCTCAGCCCAGGCTGCTCCTGGAGGGTTTGGGTGACTACAGGCATTCCTCAGTGACCCCTGAAGTCCAAACCCAATCTGTCCTTATTCTCACCCACTTTGTTTTCCATCTGCTCCACCATTACCGCGTCCTTGTTTAGATTATCCTTATGCCCTAAACCCGTTGACTTCCTTTCTTCCCTCTGCTCCCTCAGTTCTGACTTCTCATGGTGTGGACTCAGCTCAGGGGCCTGTAGGGGACAAAGTAGAGATGAAGGTCAGGTCTCAGCTGCAGGTCCCAGGGCACCTTTAACACACAGCTAAACCCCACTCCCCCAGACTCAGAGCAAACCCAGCAGGAAGGTCCCCCGGAGAGGTACAGTTAAGAACCTTCACTTCCTGGTGAGGAAACTGAGGCCCAGAAGGACTAAGAGGTTTTCTCAGCTCCCTCACCACTCGAGGGCAGCAGGGCCACCTCACAAGCCTGGGTCTCAGCTTCCCTGTCCAAATCACCTAAGTCTCCCACCAGGAATTCATTTCTCGATTTCTGGAATTTTGGACCCCACATGGCTATTTCCACTGTTAAAACAAACTGT